TTTAAGTCAAAACCCTAGAAGTGCTTTTTGTTTTAACTATTGCAAACGCTCCCTAAACAATACAATGAATGCATACAGAGGATTAAACAACTAAACTAGACAACAATTACGGAAAAAGTCCAAATGTAAGATTTAATTGTTTTTTTTTTGGGAGAAGATTTAATTGATTTATTAATTATAACTTAAAGAGTTGGAGTAAAGAGTTGGAATTTTGCTGTTCAGCTGCACGTACTGTCTTGGCAGTGGCTTATCAGCTCGCTTGGAATCTAGTGACTCCAATTCCATAACTGTTTTTTGCATACAGGAAAAGGCTCTGGAGTTATAGGGGCAATCCATTTTTCTTATTGGGGGCAAATAGTTGAGCCTCTAAAATTTATTAACAAATACAAGGATTAATGGAACTTTATTGGCGGCAGATCTCCCCTCTATGGGCTTATTAGATCCGCCCCTGAATGGAAGTAGTTTTTCATGAGATTTGACTCATTTGAGGGTGTAGAATATGTCTACCTTGTATTTGAACAAAACACTTTCCATTAGGCATATTTCACCCAAATGATTGTGTTGCAATCAAACTGCAGAGTCTAGAATGATATACTACGTATAAGATATCACATGTCATCTCATACAAACTAACTACTCCATAATATAATGGAATTCCTAATAAACTGGCCTGGAGCTAATGACAATGAGCTCTTCATGGAGAATCTGGCTTGGGTGATTCGAGAAGAAACTTGTGAAGTTTCATATGTAAAGTATCTGGCTTGGGTGATTCGAGAAGAAACTTGTGAAGTTTCATATGTAAAGTTCTGATATACGTACGCAGTGACACACTATGCCGCAACGTTTAGCGGGTGCATTACAATGTCTTTTAATTGATGATTTTTGGAATAGAAACACATAAAACTATTAATAATTGAACTAATTAGGCAAGGAGAAAATCCATTGAATATGAGTAAAGCAAAGCCAATCTTCTCATTTTTTGCTATGTAGCTTTGCTTGACAAAAAACATGATGCACTTGGGTAGGTAGTGTTTTGCACTTTGCCATACTCATGCAGTCATGTCAAACAAAATGCTGTATAACTTTAAGATTTGAGAGTAGGTACTTTGTGTCATTTCCACCTCTCTTCTAATTTCTTTTTATCATTTTTAAACAACGTGAACTCTCTCTATATTTCATCATTGTTAAAAAATAAAACTTGAATTGTTATCGAAGGGGGTTTCCCCTTGAGTTCAAAAGTATCGGCAATGTCAATCACCCTTTGGCTTGGTAGATCATCTTCTTGTCCACCTATGCTGCAATATCTACCTCAAAAGCTCTTAGAATAACCCAACTTTCCTCATCTCCCATAGAAGTCCTTCCTAAATTTCCTTAAAAGAAAAAATAAGATAGAACTTCATGACCGGATCTTCCCACAACATTGATGATATCTAGAATCTTCTCTGATACTCTGAAAAAAGTCAGATCAGATGGTCTCACTTCATTGACAAAATATTAATTGTATTTCATTTACCAGATGAATCATAAATTTAAATAATCAATGGGCTAATTTCTTTAATGTCACCATTTAATCATTAATTTTAGTGATACTCTTGATGAAATAAGATGGTGTCATTACATAACAAAAAAACCTTATATACCCACCATGTCTGTAAGGAGTTTTTTTTGTCTGTGAATCCCGGTCACAGGCAAAATATGTTTAAGCAAATTATTTTGCCTGTGAATTGGATTCACAGACAAAAACAAATTTCTCATAGACATGGTGGGTATAAGATGGGTATTATAGTGTGTACAAGAAGAAGCTTTCATTACATAATAAAATTGTTTCAAAGCTATTACCCTTTTCTACCCCAAAATAGATGAATGTAAGATGCGATGTACAAAAATGAAATTTGCAACACATAGCTATTGATCTGAACTCTGAGTCATTACAACTCCAGACTCCGGAGTAATAACCACTAAAAAGAAATCCAAATTTTAAACGCATTCTAAATGAATATTAAACATAAAAAATCTCAATAACACAAATTCATGACTACAATAACAGCACAGTATCTCCATTTGCCCTAGCCTCTAACTAGAGTTGTGCTAGGTGTACACATTTTGGTGTACATCTTTCGTACACTTGTCTGTCTCATTCACAAACAATTGTCTGTCCACAGAATTGTCTGTGTACAGACAATTGTTTGTGCGTGAGACAGACGAGTGTACCAAAAGTGTACACCAAGCATTTTTGTACATTAATGTTAGACAAATATGTCAGAGAATTTAAACTAATACTCCATACAATATAAGAAAGTAGCATAAACTTGTCTATAGCTAAGTGTAGAAAATTCTCAAATTGATAATCAGGAGGTTTTGTTCAAAAGTCAAGACCAAAGCTGAAGCAAAACTATCCATCACGAAATTTGTTTTGAAAAAAGATCTAAAAATTGAGAGAGGTGTCAACGTTCAACGGTTCAATACAAAACAATGGGGAAAAGATGAAAAGAAACCATTTGGTTGTTAGCGAAGATTGATATTGTATACCATTAGAATCAGGCGGTGGTTTTTGAAGATAACGGAAAAGGCAGATAGTAATTTGTAGGGCGTACCCGGCTAGATGAAGTTAAGTTACGGGAACGTTGGGGATCCTTCTGGTATAAAAGAGTATAAGGCAATATATAATGCATTATACTCGTATTACACATATTCTACATCATATCATAAACATAGTTGTAGAGTAAACTAAAAACATAGCTGTAGTATTTTTCACTAATATAGCATATATGTAATATGTTGGTGTAACCACATGCTGAGATGAACTTGTACTCTTATACCAGAAGGATCCCCATCATTCCCTTTATGGCAATAGGATATGAAATCTATTGTATATTAAGGAGCAAGTGATGTAATGACTATAGTATACTACCGCCGTTTACATACATTTCTTACACAACGTTGCTTAAGGATTTTTACATATAAGGCCATATATAATGCATTATACAGAAAAGATCAGGTCCCTCCGGAGGGACGGGAGGGACCGTCCGAACTTTACTGTTTGGGGCGGTTCCCGGTGGAATTTTTTGATGAAATTTTTTGAGCATGTTCCTCATCAAGTCTAGTTTGTCCATACCAAATATCAGCTCAAAATTCGACCGGGAAGGCAGTCAAATAAATTCTTGAAGCTTACTGCACATTCTGCGCATATATAAAGTGCAGTAAGTTTCAAGATTTTATTTGACCGCCTTCCCGGTAGAATTTTGAGCTGAAATTTGGTATGGACAAACTAGACTTGATGAGGAACATGCTAAAAAAAATTCATCAAAAAATTCCACCGGGAACCGCCCCAAACAGTAAAGTTCGGACGGTCCCTCCCGTCCCTCCGGAGGGACCTGAGCAGTCCTCATGCATTATATTATGCATATTTTACATCATATCATAAACACAGCTGTAGAGTAAACTAAAAAATCCCAAACTTTCTATGTTTCACTAACATAGCATATATACTTAAAAATAGAAAAAATTCCACTTTTGGTCCCATGACTATTATGCCACTTCTACATTAATTCCCTGACTTTCAATTTAACCAAATGTAGTCCTTGACTTTTTCTCCATAACCACCCGTCGTCCTTCCGGGCTCAATTCCGGCTAATGTCAACCGGAAAAAAAATTAATGAGGGGTAGTTGTGTCATTTAATAGCATTTATAACTTTCCTACCTAACTCCAACGTTAAAAGCAATTTTCGGTCAACCAAAAAATTAGAAACGAGCAGTCCTTCGCCATAGCTTCTCCTCACCGTAGCATTGCTTCTCCTTCGCCATAGTTTCTCCTCGCCATAAGTACTCCCTTCATCGTTAGTATCACCCCCAACCCCCCTGAAGAAGTGGTCATGTCTAGCTCAAAATCTGGAAGTTCAAATTGTACGGGCCAATATGAATATGGAGAGTGGATTCCGGTCAAGTATTGTGAATGTGGGCAACGATTGAAGCTGCTGACAACTTGGAAACCGGAGAACTGTGGGAGAAGGTTTTGGAAATGCATTGGAACGCAGGTTATATATGATTGTGAAAAGATAGGTTAAATGTAATATATGAAATATTTAGAAATTCAATATTGATTGATTGAATTGTTTGTTTATATATGTGCTTGCAGAGATTTGAAGGTTGTGGGTTGATGGAGTGGTTTGACCCTCCAATGTGCAAAAGGTCTCAAAAAATCATCCCAGGATTATTAAAAAAAGTGAATGTGTATGAAGAGAAAATCCATTCATTGGAGATGAAAGTTGAAGCATTGGAGACAAAGAGTTTCCAAGCAGAAAAGATGCAGACAAAATGTAGTAAATGTATAAAATTGGTGTCCTTTATGTGTGTTGTGGTTGTTATTATTTCAGTGTACTTGAAAGCCAAATAATGTAGTGCTGGTGTTGATGAGATGTGTGCTCATGTACTTGTAAAACCTTTGTTGAAGGTCTTTATTATCATGATTTGGTATGAAAATCAATGAAAGTCATATGATTATGAGTCTAAGCTGTTCATTATGAGTTCATATCTATTACCTTGGATTAACCTCACTTCAGCTGATGACTTCAAAACACGTGTGGAACACATATCTATTACACATATGTCTGCCAATTAATGACTTCAAAACCCAGTTCCTTAACATATCAGTTCCTTTAAAAAACCAGTTCCTTAAGTGATGACACATATCAGTTCCAAATCACTTCAAATTGACTTCAATCTTGTGGACTACAAAACTTACAAATATGCCACTCAAACATGCTATGTTGTCTTCCTTAACAACCATATAATCACTTCAAACACACATTGATGACACATATATAACTTAAGAACCAATTACAGACAAACATCCAAAATGAAGTCACTTCACATCCATATAATTACTGGCATCATAACCTAAGATGCATGATGTTTGTTACACAATAAAGTCATTCCCAAAAAAGATGAGATAGTGTACAGCCAAAATGCTATCCCATACATTACATCATCACACTGAGATGAAACAATACATAATAACTTAACAATCTTGAGTTTTGTTACACGTGACAGTCACACCCATAAAGGCAAAAAAGGTAGTCCATACAATTACATCATCAAAGTACCATCATTCATAAACATTTGACTCCAACCACTACTCTATATCAATGGGTTCATCATCATTTCCAAAGAAGACTGATTTGAATGTTGTTTTGGATCTAGTAGCATAGCTTGGTCCCCTTTGAATGGTGAGTTTAGGTCTCGGATTAACCTGAGAAGATTTAGGAACACTTGTACTGCCCTTCTTTTGACTAGGGGGTGGTCCATAGCATATCCTAACACCCTGCTTTGTCCTCTGGTAAGTCCCAACAGTCTCCTCTTCTGATACCTCCTTGCTCTGTTCTTCACTCTCTCCTTTGCTCTCTTCATTGCTGTCTTCTTTCCCCTCATCTGCCCTCTTTTCTTTGCTCTCTTCTTTGGTTTCTTCTGTCCTCTCTTCTGAGACCTGAGTGAGTTGTGTGTCTTGTGTAAACATATTAGTGTCCTCCACACTCACAATAATAGGAACCTCACTTCCAAAAATAGCTTCCTCGGCACACATCATGGTAATGTCAACAAGGTTGGACTCATCAACAAGCTCTTCCTGTATAGATACTCCCTCATCTCTATCATGCAGTCCAACACTCTGTCTGCTCTTAGATTTCCTGTTTCTTTTCCTAGGTTGCATCTGATAACATGTAAAGACAATGTAGTTAATGCACACAATACACACAATATATCATAATAAGAAAATAACCTTATAAAATATAGATGGACAATATACCAGCTTCTCCTTGATGTTAGGATCGTCCGGACATCTCCTTGCATTGTGGCCTGCCTTCTTGCACTTTGAACAATGCAATTTAATATGTGTTCTTGCTACTCGGACTCCATCTGTGCTCAGATCAACTGCAGATTTTCTTCTCAGTTTTCTTGGTCTTCCAGCTCTAGCTAGCAGCATATACTGGTGGAAGAGGGGGAAGTCTGTCAGTTAAAGGCCACTCATCTGGCCCAGCCATTGGCTTTATGGAGCCTCCATATATCTGCAAATAAATGTCTTTAGAATAACATGGGTGGACATATGCATCAACAGGTCCTTTTCCAAATTTCAGCCAAATAGCACATATTGCATGCTTGCAGGGGATCCCAGTTAAGTCCCACTGCCTGCAAGTGCATGTTCTCTTCTCCAAATCCACACCATGTTGGTTACCATGCGATCCCATTATCTCAAAGTCATTGTCACCACACTGATAGCCAATCAAACCTGCAGCTAACTTCTCAGTCTCTTGAATTTTTTTTACTATTCTAGGGCACAGATTTGAGGTCCACTTTCTTGCCTTAGTCCTGCTAGTGAACAACTTTGTTAAAAGCATTTTCCTTATACTTTCTAGGCACACCAAAAGGGCTTGTTGTCTGGCCTCTAGTATTACACTGTTAAAGCACTCACAAATATTATTGGTCAACATGTCAGTTTTGGATTGAGTAGAGAAGTGTGCTCTTGACCATTCTCTGGGGTGCTTGTCTGCCAGCCACTCAAATGCTTGCCCATCAATCTCTTTGAATTTGGATAGGGCAGCTTTGTATGAGTTCAGAGTGCATGCCTTGCTACATTCCCACAGAGTATCCTTTAGAGCTTTGCCAGTAAAACCTGCAGCCTTCATGTTGCCATGTAGATGCCTCACACAAAATCTATGCTCAACACCTGGTAGTAGTTCATTCACAGCTTGAATTAGCCCTTTCTGCTTGTCTGACATTAAAGTGAAGACATGCTCATTGGCTTCTGTGATGTCAGCATCCATCTTCACTAGGTTCAAGAACCAAGCCCAAGATTCTCTACTTTCACCCTCAACAATAGCATAAGCAAGTGGAAAGATGCTATTATTTGCATCTACTCCAATTGCAACTAAAAGTTGCCCCCCCTGTCTTGGTCTTCAGATGAGTGCCATCAACCCCAAGCACTGGCCTACAATGTTTAAATCCTTCCCTACAGGCTTCCCAACACATATACATCCTCAGAAACCTTTATTGTCCATCCACCTCAACATTCTCACTCAATTTCACAACACAAGTGCTCCCAGGATTGGTTCTTCTTATTTCAGCCACATATGACCATATCTTCTTGAAGTAATCTTCTTCTTCACCTTGCAGTTTCCTCTTTGCCTTAGTTATTGCTCTATAAGCTTGCCTGAGACTCAAATGGAAGCGTTCTTCAGTACATACTTTCTGTCTAAACTCTTTAGTTTTCCAATTTGAGTGACTTTCAATCTCTTTGAACCACCTATTTGCTACCTTGCTTGAGTTCACCATTTTGTTGTGATAGACCCAAGAGCAACCTTCATGTTTGGAATGGTACTGTAAAATCACCCAAGAATGAGAGTTCATTACTTTTCTAAGATTCATCTTCCATGGGCAACCTATATGCTTGCACTCCACAACAACCTGTTCCTTATCATTTTTAACAAATCTCACATCTTTACCATTCTTAAATGCAAGATTTTCCACAGCTTCTTTGAATTCCTGTTTGGTGGCAAATGTCATACCCAACTTAAAGGTTGGGTCTTTCATATCAGTCTTGGCAGAGAATTTAGTCCACTTCTCAGAGTCAGAATCAGATTCATGTATGGAACCATCATCTGACAAGTTAGGATCCGGATCTACCATTGAAGCCTCAGGCAAGTGATCTTCTCCTTCACTACTGCTACTTAACCCTCCATGAGCAGATAACTCAGCAGCCTCCTTAGAAACGAAGTCTTCCAAATCAGAGTCATTTTCATCTCCAGGAAATTCTTCTAACTCCTTCTCACTGTAGGCAAAGTCACTATCTTCAGGGTCATCATCATCTTCAGTGTCACCACTGGGTTCTAATTCTACCCATAACTCCACCACCTTACCAACAATTCCATCATTCACAATCCCCCAAACCTCAGCCTCACTGTGTAGTTGTTTTAGGGACTCATCCTCATTGGAATAGGAGTACACTGTCATAAGTTTCTTGGTGCAGCCAAGTTCTTGTAACTTCTCATTCAACACAATCAAACCGAACTCATCAACCTCTACATCATGAAAATTATGGATTGACCCTCCCATGTATGCAGGTTTATCCTTGTCATAGACTTTACCTCCATAAAACAACCTCAAAGTAAAAGTGTTTCCACAGTTGCCTGAACCTGTGTTATATATGCCTTTTCAATGTTAGGTCAATAATGTCTTTAATAGGTTACAACAACACCATAAATATATTTGATAAATACTACTAAAAAACAAAAGAAAAGCATGTATGGGTATAACCTTGCGTAAAGTTAAAAGTGAACTGGTCCCATTTCTTAAATGGTTAAAGCTAAGACAACCGGCCAAGGGAATCTCACCCAAAAAAAACCTACCCTACCATGTGAACGCATAAAGGGAAAAAGGAAAAGGGGAAAAGGGAACCTCAACATAAAACCTCTAACATGTGCATACACTGCAAACACCAAATATATACACCTCAGTTCAGCCTTATATTCAATAATTTCTTCCACTCTCTTATAAAAGTTTAGCCTCTTACCTTTATCAGAAACATTTGTTGGCGACCTCCGTTCAGCACTTGTTCCTTCTCCTTCACACCGACGGTCCAGACGGTTCCTCATTCTTCGAACGATTTTGGGGATTTTTCAAAGGTGACTGAAGCTTTGTTGAGACTTGAGAGGGAGAACACACTTCGGTTTTTGAGGTAGAGGGGGATGGTCGTATTAACTAAACATTAAGTTAACTTAATGTTAAAGTTTATCAGGTAGCCGTTTTTTAACCTAAATTTACTGAAATGCCCCATCATTAATTGTTTTCCGGTTGACATTAGCCGGAATTGAGCCCGGAAGGACGACGGGTGGTTATGGAGAAAAAGTCAAGGACTACATTTGGTTAAATTGAAAGTCAGGGGATTAATGTAGAAGTGGCATAATAGTCATGGGACCAAAAGTGGAATTTTTTCCTTAAAAATAATATCCAAAATGTCCTTCGACTGCCATCTACCTATGAATGATAGATATAGTCCCAAAAAGAAGATATAGAAGGAAAAAACTGTCATCGAATTGAATTTTTAGGACCGATTCAGTCGAAGAAGATACAGAGAGGTATGAAGACTTCTTACTTTCTTAGTTATACGTAGTAATAACTTATAGGTTTCAAAAAGTGTATTAGTGTATTATATGTGTAACTTTTGTAAATATATGCTGGGGTGGTGAAATAATTGAATGTTGGGGATTGCTTTGGTAATTTACCCCAGATTGGAATTTGTAATGCATGTTTTTGAGATGTCGATAAAGATGAATTTATTCAAGAGGTTTAGACTCCCAGGACATCTCATAAATAATTAAAATGTAAAAAAGTTATTGATAAAAATTACTCTCTTTGTGTTTTCCAACTAATGAAGGCATTTGTATTGGCCTGCCCATATATCTAGCTGGCAGTTCATTATTAGTAGCTACTAATAGGAAAAAGCTCAAGTAAGCTTACCTGCATCCTGGCAACTTGGCAAGTGCAGACTGCTGAAAACTCTCAATTCAATAATCCAGAAGCTATCCTCCCAACTGCTCATCTCGTATCTCCTAAACAGCTTTTATTTCATACTCCGTATTTCATTACCCCATTTCTATCCTTTTTTTAGTTTTCAAGAACTCCATTTCTAATCCATCATTTTTATACGGGGTATATAGCATATATGATAGATACTCCATATTTGATATGGATCATGAATGAAATGCAAAAGTAGATATTTTAGTATACAAATGAATGCTCTCTTTTATTTAAATAAAAAACTTTGAATGTAGATCAATATATGTCAATATATGTAGTCAATGAGATACAGCAACGTGAAATAAAAAATCACAAAGCTAAACATCTTCAAAAATAACATGATTTTTCCTCCAGCTTTAATCGCACAGTTACAACATTCAGAAATTAAACGGGATCTCCAAGCTAGTAAAAGTTACGTTTCCGAATCAAATCCCAAGTTCCAGAACCCTTCTGGAGTTGAAGGAGGGACGTACTGAAATCGATGCCTAGATACCCCATCATGATGCTCACAGCGTAAGTTACTGAAATTCTTATCTTCAGATGGAAGCACAGCATCGTAGAACTTTTTGCACTGCTTACATTCAATTCCTTTCAAATTTTCTCTTTCCGATTTTTTCCTTACAGGTCCTATATATTTTACCACTGAAGTATCAGGCCTTAAATACGGAACTTGTTGCTTCTGATGCTTCTGATCAATATTCATGTCCTGTGTTTCATCGTCTGAGTTTTCAGAATCTCTGACCGCAGGACCTTCCGTCGTAAGATTTGTGCTATCATCCTTCATGGCATTTCTTTGATTTCTTCTAACATTCTCCAAGGGTGTATCAAGAAAATCATCATGAGGATCTGGTCCAACTCGGCTTTGATGGGACCTAGTATCTCTCCAATAAGATCCACGACGTTTTGTGCCAGCTGGTAGGCAAGACTTCATGTGCAGGCGCTCTTTAGAGGCTATAGAAATGTTTGCATCATCAAGGGGTGATATAGAACTTGATCTTTGAGCTGATTTAACAACTCCAGTATTTCCTGGGTTTTCAAGGATATTAATTCGCTTTGCCTCTTCACAGGAAATGCTCATAGCTTTTGGTACATCAGTCTCCACATCTATTAGCATCACACACAATTGATATTAATGTTAGTCAAGAATATAACAATAAGGAAAGAAAAAGTTGATTCATTTTTCTACTGATCATAATCAACATATATTTACTTCATTTGGGTGGGTTTGGAGATGCTTTGTGCATAATCTAATATACTAGAACTGCAACGAAGCACAAGGACTCCGAGAATTACCATTTTTAATCAGAGGACTTTGGTTATGCCTCAATTCACTTT